ACATACACTAATTATGACTGAATAAAAATAGAAATATTTTCAGATAATATATTCTACATAGCAAATACAATAAATTCTATAGTCACACTATTAGAATTTATAAGAGGGTTCAGCAAGATTGCTAGTACAATATCAACATGCACAAATAATTAAGTGTCATACTAGAGCAGGGGTCCTCAAACTTTTTAAACAGGGGGCCAGTTCACTGTCCCTCAGACCACTGGAGGGCCGGACTATAGTTTAAAAAAAAACTATGAACAAATTCCTATACACACTGCACATATCTTATTTTGAAGTAAAAAAACAAAACAGGAACAAATACAATATTTGTATTTGCATGTGGCCCGCGGGCCGTAGTTTGAGGACCCCTGTACTAGAGTATGAAGCCATTTGCCATGGGTGAGATGGTATGTCCAAATTCAAAGCAATGAACCTTCTTTGACTATAGTAGGTACTAGAATTTTCCACTTGATTTTCCAAAAAAATAATTTCAAAGTTTATTATACAGCCACCTTTCAGGACCACATGCAAACAATCAGTTAATTACAACATCAAAACATAGGTTCTTTTTTAAAAATTTAGTAAAAGACATGCCACATCTCTACACTGAAAATGACTTAAATAAGTGGAGGAAAATACCATGTTCCTGGGTTAGAACACTCAGTACTGTTAAATGACCATTTCCCCCAAACTGATCTCTAGATTTGAAGCAAATCAAATCTACATCTCACATAAATGTTTTACTCCCAGAATAAAGCACCCTAAGACAGAGTGGGTATTCAAATAAATACTTGGAGTCTTCCTTTTGGTTTTGGTAGAGCGTGGTTCTGTAGTAAATGAGATATTTCCATTATCAGTCAAACACATATTGGCTCAAATTACTTCAGTTAATCATTTAAGGGTCTAATAGTACTAAGACACAGATGAAAAGGGGTATACAACAGCACAGGAGGGAAAATTAACAAAAGGAAGATGGCAAAATACAAGTGACAAATTTTGCAGACTTTATTATTTTGCCCAAAGTTTGCCATGATCACAGCCTTGGATACTATGGAGAAGGCAATGTAGAAAGTAAAGAATATCGATAATATGAAACTCATCAGATCAAATCAAAACTCTGCCTCACCCCCAAATCCCCAAGCCATTTTGTAGTACAAAGCCTAGAGATAGGCACTTTTCCTCCTAACCTTTTCTTTTTCTTTTTTTTTCACTCTTTCTTCACTCAAAGAAGTAGGTAATAAACCCATCTGTTAAGACACTGTAGCCCTAGCTGGTTTGTCTCAGTGGATAGAACGTTGACCTGAGGATTGAAGGGTCCCAGGTTCAATTCCGGTCAAGGGCACATGCCCGGGTTGCAGGCTCAATCCCCAGTGTGGGGTGTGCAGGAGGCAGCCGATCAATGATTCTCTCTCATCATTGATGTTTCTATCTCTCTCTACCTCTCCCTTCCTCTCTAAAATCAATAAAAATATATTATTAAAAAAAAAGACATTGTTACATATCTATTAAAAATATACATCTCAACAAAACTCAACTTAGGCTGATCCTTACTACCAATTTAATAGATTCTGAAATTAAATATTATTTCAACATTCTGAAAATGAGCAGTGAAGCTAATTTTTACTTATTCTGCAAAAATACATATGCCCAGGGAAGAGGGCATAAAGAGGCAAGGCATTCATATCCTATATATCTGAATCTTTAACTATATCTATCCATGCTTATAGATTCATCCACGTAGAATGAATACTCCTAGAAGAACATAAGGAAAACTTAAATTTTTAATTTTATTTCTCTATACTGTTTGAATTTTTTATCATACATTTATATTAGTTTTCTGAAGCTAGTTCACCTTTATTTTTTTTTTTATTTTTTTAAATATATTTTATTGATGTTTTACAGAGAGGAAGGGAGGGGGATAGAGAGTTAGAAACATCGATGAGAGAGAAACATCGATCAGCTGCCTCCTGCATGGTTCGCTTCCTGGGTTGCAGGCTCAATCCCCAGTAGGGGGCATGCAGGAGGCAGCCAATCAATGTTTCTATCTCTCTCCCTCTCCCTTCCTCTCTCTAAAAAAGATCAATAAAAAATATAAATGAATAAATACTGTGAACAAATGAGCATCTATATGTAAATATATAAAAAATATATGTAAGACATACTTTATTTGAACTCACTACACCAAGCATTAATATTAAAACAATAACTATACCCAAAAGAATAAAGTCTCGCCCTAACCGGTTTGGCTCAGTGGATAGAGCGTCAGCCTGCGGACTCAAGGGTCCCAGGTTCGCTTCCGGTCAAGGGCATGTGCCTTGGTTGCGGGCACATACCCAGTGGGGAGTGTGGGGAGCTGAACCATTAATGAGCAATATAAAAATATTTATTTTTGGTTGCATTGAACTATAATCATGTTCTGTTAAAAAAAAAAAAAAAAGAATAAAGTCTCAAAACCACAATGATAATAGTGATGATAAATCTTTAGGTGATAAAATGACTATTTTTATTTTCTTCTTTTTGTTATTTTCTGAATTTAATGAATTTTGTTATCTACAAAATAAAATTTTTAAAAAGCTAAAAATTACTAAGTTGAAGAGACTTTACAACAAATGAAATGAAAGAAAATGTGATGATATATTCCCAACTGATAAAAATATAATTACAGCCCTAACCGGTTTGGCTCAGTGGATGGAGCGTTGGCCTGCGGACTCAAGGGTCCCAGGTTCGATTTCAGTCAGGGGCATGTACCTTGGTTGCGGGCACATCCCTAGTGGGGAGTGTGCAGGAGGCAGCTGATCGATGTTTCTCTCTCATCGATGTTTCTAACTCTCAATCCCTCTCCCTTCCTCTCTGTAAAAAATCAATAAAATATATTTTAAAAAAATATATATAATTACTAGAAAGCATATCATGTTGAAATATCATTATATTATTATTATAATCAAGTTGTATCTGCCCCTCTACATATCTCCATATGTATCTTTTTATTTTTTAATCCTCACTTGAGGATATTTTTCCATTACTTTTAGAGAGAGTGGAAGGGATTGAGAAAGACAGAGAAAGAGAAAAACATCGATGTGACAGACAGACATCAACCCTGGGTCAATGCTCTATCCACCGAGCCAAATCCGCCAGGGCCATATGACTCTTCAAGGTCACCACAAATTAAATGTAGATGAAGAAAGAAGAATACAAAAAGTATAAATGCCACGTTGACATTCAAAAACTGCTCATAAAAATTAAATGCAATCTATATCATCTTCAAAATAACATCTAAAAATTAAAATATAAAAGCAGGATCTTAAAGATATATCTACATTCCCCTTTTTATTGCAGCATTATTCACAATAGCAAAGATATGAAAACAACCTAAATGTCCATCAACAGATAAACAGACAAAGAAGACATGGTATACAGCACCCCCCTTTATCCAGGGGGGAAGAGGTTCCAAGACCCCCTGTGGATGCCTGAAACCACAAATATTACCAAACCCTATATGTACTATGCTTTTTCCCTATATATACATACCTATGATAAAAGTTAACTTATAAATTAGACAAACATTAACAATAAATATTAATAAGATAAATACTATATATCACTTATACATGAAATCTGAAAAAGCCAAAATCATAGAAACAGATACTAGTATGGTGGTTACCAGAGACTGAAAGGGTGATGGAAATGGGGAGATGTTGGTAAAATTCAAGTTGTAAGACAAATAAGTTCTGGTGATCTAATGTACAGTATGGTGGTTATAGTTTCTAATACTGTATTATATACTTGCTAAGACAGTAGATCTTAAATTTTCTCATCACAAAAAAGAAATGGTGATTATGTTAAGTGATGGAGGTGTTAGCTAATGCTATGACAGTAATCATTTTACAATATATAAGTACATCAAATCAACATATTGTACACTTTAAATTACCCAAGATATGTCGATTATACCTCAATAAAGCTAGGGGAAAAACTAAAATATATGTGCACTCTTAATTATTCTAAAACATTTTTCTTTGTTATGAAAAAGTTAATAGGACTCCTACATTAATATCTGAAAAATAATTATTTCGACTATCAATAACCAATTGCTAAATGAAGATTTACTAAATACATATAGATATCAAAGCTGTAAAAATACGGATTATAAAACAGAAAGAAAGAGTTAAATATTATTGAGGAAACACAAAACTTATATTAATATTTTAAAACTTAGGAATATGAAATTTGAAACTAAGCTCTGTTGTAAGAATACAGCCTAAAGAGTGTATAAAATTACAAAAAGAATTAGCAAGGATTAAAAGAAAATGAAAAACCTATTCAAAGAAATAAAATATAGAATGAATCAGGGAGAGCTGTTAATATTTAGATTATAAACTGACAGCACATCTGTTAATTTTTTTTTGTTTTGTTTTTATTAATCCTCAGCCGAGGATATTATTCCACTGACTTTTAGAAAGGAAGGGAAGGCGAGAAACAGAGAGAGAAACATCAATATGAGAGAAGCATCGATTGGTTGACCCCTGGCACATGCCCCAAACCAGACCAGGGTTCAAGCCCTCAACTGAGGTACATGCCCTTAACCAGAAACGAGCTCAGAACCCTTCAGTCCTCAGGCTGATGCTCTATCCACTGAACCAAATCAGCTAGGGCACATCTGTTAATTTTAGGAGTTCCCAGGAACCATTAAAGACAAGGTGGGCACCAGATATACCAAACAGCACAATATTATCAAGGGAAAAAACACTTTCAAACTTAAATTTGGTATGGATTTATGTTAAACTAACAGAACTCTGAAAGCAAAAATTTAGCAGAATGAGAATATTACATAGCTAAGAATATTAGCAAAAGAAAAACTATCCAAAATTTGAAACATGCCTTATTTTGTTGTTCAAGTCAGAAATTCACACTCCCCAGAGTGCAAACCTTCTCTAACAACAAAGCAATTTTCTTCAAGCATTAGGGTTACTTGTATGACTATTTCTAGAAGTAGAACTTACCGAGTACCATCTGCTTTCCAGCTTACTTTATATGGATTCTGCTCTAAAAGTTTAATATTTTGCTTGTCCATGGAAACAGGCTGTGCTCCAGGGAATCCAGACCTTAAAGGAGAACATTTTATTGTTATGGCTGGTATCCATAGAAAGCACTGCATGTCTGAAACCAACCTCACAAGTCACATGTTCATACAATGTTCTCCCTATCATGAGATTAATGTCAATTGGAAAAATACTAGATTTCACAAGAATACTAACAAACGGTTATCATTTTCTTAACATTTTAGAACATAAGTTATCAAGATTCTAATTGCCACTACTATACCTATTGGGCTAATTCTATATAATAAAGAGGTAATATGCAAATTGACCATCACTCCAACACACAAGATGGCCACCACAATATGGCCTGCAGGGGAGGGCAGTTGGGGGGACCCAGGCCTGCAGGGGAGAGCAGTTGGGGGCGATCAGGCCTGCAGGGGAGGGCAGTTGGGGGGGACCAGGCCTTCAGGGGAGGGCAGTTGGGGGGAACCAGGCATGCAGGGGAGGGCAATTGGGGGCAACCAGGCTGGCAGGGGAGGGCAGTTGGGGGCGACCAGGCCTGCAGGAGAGGGCAGCAGTTAGGGACCAGGCTGGCAAGGAAGGGCAGTTAGGAGTGACCGGGCCAGCAGGGAAGGGCAGTTGGGGGCGACCAGGCCAGCAGGGGAGGGCAGTTAGGTATGGCAAGGCTGGCAAGGGAGGGCAGTTAGGAGTGACCGGGCCAGCAGGGGAGGGCAGTTGGGGGCAACCAGGCCAGCAGGAGAGGGCAGTTAGGGGTGACTAGCCCGGCAGGGAAGGGCAATTAGGGGCAATTGGGCCGGCAGGAGAGCAGTTAGGCATCGATCAGGCTGTCAGGGGAGTGGTCAGGCTGGCAGGCAGAAACGGTTAGGGGCAATCAGGCAGGGAGACAAGCGGTTGGGAGCCAGCAGTCCGATTGTGAGAGGGATGTCTGACGAGCGGCTGGGAGCCAGCAGTCCGATTGTGAGAGGGATGTCTGACTGCCCGTTTAGGCCCGATCCCTGCAGGCGGTCAGACATCCCTCGAGGGGTCCCAGGTTGGACAGGGTGCAGGCTGGGCTGAGGGACACACACTCCCTGCCCTGCACAAATTTCGTGCACCGGACCTCTAGTTTTTAAATATACACATGATCTAAGTAGTAAAACAGGTACATTTACAAGTCTTTTAAATTAGGAAGAAGTTTAAGTCTTGCTTTAGTTATTCTACATTATTCTAGACCCCATATTGCTCCATCATGACACTGCCAGCTTGGCATAACTGTACAGGGTTGGCAAGTTTCTCCCCAAAAGACGCCCAGAAGTGACAAAACCGGAGAAATGTAGATCAAGATTAAAGGACTCTGGCAAGGGTTTAACACAACACTAAAATCAGTATTACTTCATCATCATTTTCATCTTTTATTTAAAATTATTTCTAGGTGATTGATCTGTATATACCAGTCAAAAAGTTACTTATAATAGGAATTTTTAGGCTGATAATCCTGTTTCATCATGTCCCAGCTGTATTATAATTTTCGGCATCAGACAGCAACGATCAACAGAAATGTTCACAGACCAAGATCAGAGAGCAAGAGATAAGAGCAGTGACTTCTCTCCTGAATCCTACTGAAATATGGGCATATTCAATTTTTATGTCTTCTCCCTTAATACAATAAGGGCAACCCAAACATTAATCTGCAACAGTAGATTCAAACATACAAAACATTTTATACTATAGTAACTTTCTAATCCTGTAGAAAGACATGTGAGTCAACTAATTTTTGACTCAACTGTCTATTACACTGCTTGTCTTGAGAAAAACTCGTAAATCTTTGTAAGCACTCTATGTAAAAATACAAATTTCAAGAAGCAAAGAAACTATGTTAACGTTTGCTTCAATGTTAAGTGTTGCAAAGTAAGAATAAATTTTATTTAAAACAGTAAAATATTTATTACCCTTCCCAGCCACAGAATTGACGACACTTCTGCTGTACTTCTCCTAACTTCGGTTGAGTTGTTACTTGAGTTACACCTTTAACCGTTATACCTTCTAAGAAAATAGCACCCTTAAAATAAAAGGAAAATGTTTTATTAGAGTTCAAATACATTTATGAAGATTAGAATGAGAGACAGATAATTTTATAAAGCATTTGTAAAATTTTCACTAAATATTTAATTGGAATTTCATAATACTCTGCAAAGAAATAGTAAATTCTGAGTCCAATGTATAAGAGATCTTTGGTTTACCTAAGAAACAAAAACAGGATGAATTTACGTAACAAACTTTTCTTGTAGAAAAGGCAAGGAGTAATGGCTATCAAGAATCTTTATAAATAACTAGAATGAAATAACCTCACATATCTAGTAAAAGAAAATAGTCAACATTCCATTTTCATAAATCTCATGAAGATCATAAATCTGATGAAGAAAAAAGGTAAAGACTATAATATTTTTATTCATTACCAGTTTTAACCGTTCTTTTCTCCTTTTGCCAAAGGAGGCGCTTGACCCAGGTTCTGGTTCCTTCTTTCCATCCTCATCCTCATCTTCCTCTTCATCATCCTCAAAACACCAATCTGGCAATACAGGTGGGGCTGGTGCTTCCTCTATATCACCATAACGACGGAAAAGTTCTTTCAAATAATCACCCTTATAAATTCCTGGTGGTCTTGCTTGAGCAAAAGTGGCAACTGCTGCTTCAATACTATGGAAAACAAACACCATGCAATTTCCTCACTACTCTCCATTTATGCAGATTTTTCAAAACTTATCTATAATAATAAAAGCACAATATGCTAATTAGACCAAACGTCCTTCTGGATGACCTTCCAGATGAAGCCAGGGCTGTGAGGGAAGCCAGGGTCCCGGGTGCCTGCCAGCGGCCAGAGGGAAGCCCGAGTCCCAGGTGCCAGAGGGAAGCTGGTGTCAGCAGCCGGGGAAAGGAAGGCCTACTCTTGCACGAATTTCGTGCATTGGGCCTCTAGTTTATTATATTTAAGGCACCATACGATTTAATGGACAAATCAGTCCCACTCTTAAGGCATTCAATCTATTAAGGGACAAATTCATTCTGAAACAGTTTGAACATAAGGTACATTGATAATTCCTAACTCTAGAAGTAAATTGCAATGAGTGTATAGAAGAGACCTGTATTAAGTCTGTGAAGAATTTAAATAAAGCTTTAAAGGTTGAGGTCTCTGACTGAGGTTTCCTGACTCTTAAGGAAAAATGTCAAAGAAATTTGAAGAGCAGTATCAATAAAAGTTAAAAAGCATGCTGGTTTTTCAGGAACTTTCAACAAACCCAGTTAATATGAGCATAAGTCATCAGAGAAAGGTTAAGCATAGGCTGAATCTGACACAGGATTCTGAGGTTATTGTATAGAGTAGCAATTTTCAACCCATGTGCCGTAAGAATTTTTAAAACATGCAAATACCTATTTAGTCAGGACAAAGACATCTTTTCCCTTAGATTGTTAAATTTAAAAAATGACAACAGCCAACACAACAATAGCCATTCAGTGTGAATGAATCAAAATTATTCCTGTTTTTGTCAGATTGGCAAAAAATATATTTTTTGGTATGCTGCAGAATTTTAGTCATTAGTTTGTGTGCCATGAGATGAAAAGGTGGAAAATCGCTGGTGTAGAACATCTGAAAGGCCAGAAAGGCTGCCCTAGAAGTGCATGCAGAAGAGAACCACTGAGGATGCATGACAGGGAAATAAAACATACAATCTGATGTGTACTTCTGCTGATTATATTCAGAGAAGGACCTACTGTGTGGAAGGCTTTGTAAACAAAATAATAGCCCTCAATCAGTAAATGAGGAAATTAATATCCCATTCTCTCAGGAATTTTTGAGTAACTAACATTCTAATGTCTCGAGATTTAAAAAGGTATTTCACTAAAATAAAAACATGCTGATTGGTTTAAATAGTAACACTGTCCCCAAAATAACTTCTCTACAAAATCTTCTGTTTTTCCTAGTACTTAACAGCTATAAAAAGGTACTATTAAAAATTATAAAAAAAACAACAGCAGGAACTTCCAAAGGTGAATATGAACACAAAATATTGGAAGAATTTGTGTCTCATAAGAGTAAAACATCTGGAAAAGAAAATACATAGAATATGGGGTCCATGAGCACTCAACTAAAGTGCTACTTAGCAGAAAAACACCAATGAATGGTATTCTAAAGATTAACCAAACTAAAATGAAAAAAAATTCAAATTATATTAATCATGACTTCACCAAAGATTTGGCAATATAAAGCGCTAAAACTAAAAAAAAATGAATGAGCCCGGCAGTGTGGCTCAGTTGGCTGAGCAATGTCCCATGCACCAAGAGGTTGCTGGTTCCATTCCTGGTCAGGGTACATGCCCAGGTTGCAAGCTCAATCCCCAGTAAGGAGCATGCAGGAGGCAGCCGATTGATGTTTCTCGTCAATGTTTCTAACTCTCTCTCTCTCTCTCCTTTCCTTTCTCTCTAAAAAAAATCAATAAAAACATATTTTTTGAAATCAATGAAATTTTTTTACCCATTACTAAATATGTCTCCTCCCATTATTACAAGAAACAAATACCTCCAATCCATTTTCTCCACCAAAAAGGCACATATGAGGAAACCGGTACGATTGAAGCCATGGGTACAATGAACACCTAGAAAATAAAGTAGCATTGTTTTAAATTTTTTTCACTTCAGAAGCCACATTTTACTTTAAAACTCCAATCTGCAATCAAAACATTTCAATCATTTTATAAAATATCTACATTTTAAAAAACTCAGCCTCTCTTATAATTATTACTAACTTGTCAGTTGAAGTTGCTTAGAATCTAATTTATAGCACTAGCTAGAAGTTTAAATGTAATACATATTGATTTATTATAAGGTACTGATTTATTAGTTACAAATTATCTCTAGATCTAAAGACTTCTCTTAACACAAAGATTTCAAGCATTTTAAATAAGGAGGCATTTTCAAGCACACAACTCTAAGGGGACACACACACACACACACACACACACACACACACACACCTGACTGAATACAGAAAATAACTGATATACACTAAAAATAAAACTACTTTGAAGTTCTCTAGAAACCATCTGACTGTATCTTTATATTACGTTATAATCTTTCAAAAAAAACTTTTAGAAGAAAACCTGCTGAGAAAAAAATTTTCTTTTTCTTAAACCTTTTTTCAGGACATATGTGAGATCAGTGTGATCCTACCTCTATGTTCTGAAAAGCTGCAAATGAGCTTCATAAATTCTAAAAATAATTGCATTTTTAAGTCATTTTAACTACTTTGAACAAGTAATAATAACAGGTTGATGGACATTACCAACATGACAACTTTACTGTCAGGGTTAACTCACTCTCCTGCAAACCTCAAAATAAAGGCTTTCCTGTAATTTCTGTTTAATGGTAGGCTACCCGGGTATTTAAGACTATGTCTTTTTACTTATTTTTTAAATATATTTTTATTGATTTCAGAGAGGAAGGGAGAGGGAAAGAGAGATAGAAACATCAATGATAAGAAAGGATAATTGATCGGCTGCCTCCTGCACAACCCCTACTGGGTATCAAGCCAGAAACCCGGGTATGTGCCCTGATCAGGAATCGAATCATGACCTTCTGGTTCATAGATCGATGCTCAATCACTGAGTCACACCAACCGAGCTATGTCTTTCTTTTTAATGTTACCTTTTACAAAGCATCCTGTGACTTAGTCAATGGCCCTGGCGGGGTAGCTCAGTTGGTTGGAGTGTCGTCCTGTACACCAAAAGATTCCTGGTTTAATTCCTGGTCAGGAGCCATACAGGGAGGCAACCAATCAATGTTTCTCTCATATCTACTGTCCTTTCTCTCTTCCTCTCTCTAAAAATCAATGAAAACATATCCTTGAATGAGAAATTTAAAAAAACTTAGTCAATAAACAATGCTCAATCAACAAGGATACAAAGAAACTGCAGACAGTAGGAAAAATTTGTACAAATGTAAATTTATAAATCAAAAATAGCATTTTAAATGAATGAGAATGGCTAGAGCATGGAATAGGATAAAAAAGTAATGCCAAATGCAGTTGAAGACAGCGAGAGGATCAAAATCCTGAAGAAATTTGTGCATCATACTAAAGAAATAATAAGGGCAATGGGGTGATATTAGAGAATTTTAAGCATGGCAATAAAATTATCAAGTTTCAGATAATCACTCCAATGGTAGCTCATCAGAAGATAGAGAGAAAGCAACAATGAAGCAAGAAAACCAATAAGGAAGCCATCTCAGTAGTTAATGTGTGAGACAAGAGTCTGAGTTACAAAGGTCATAGTGATGGAGATAAGGAGGAAAGGCAGACTGAAGACACATTTAAGGTAGAATCTGCATTCTGAGGGGTAAATGACTGTCAATATTGAGAGGAAAGACTTTAAAGGAGTCTATGTTTCCTGACTTGGGTGACTAATTGGGCAGTGGCACCATTTACTAGGTTAGGAAGTACAGGAGTTTACATCATACTACAGCCAAGGCAATGAGTAAGTACATACATTTGGACATGCTGCATTTAAGGTTCTTATAGGACTTAGAAGTATTTGTAAATAAAGGTAAAGAGCTTCACAGAAAGGTCTGGCTGAAGTTGTAGATTCAAGAATAAGCAATATATAGTCAACTATGGAAGGGATCTATGGTGTGGATAAGATTGATAAGAATAGGTCTCCTAAATATAAAAACCCTGGGTCCATCACATCCGCAACGACCAGGAGGCTCGACCAACCAGAAGTCAGTCCTGCAGTCAGCACTGGGTTGCCGTGGCTACCCAGCACTGACTGCTATGGCTGCAGGCATGGTGACCCAGCACTGACTGCTGAGGGGGCTGCGAATCAGGCCCAGAGAGAGGCCTGAAGAGAGAAGCAGGGTCTGATCCGTAGCCTCTGTGGAAGCTGTTGATCAGCACTTGCCTCTTTCTCTCCTGGCTGGGCCAGCAGCTGTCCCTCCATTTCTCTCCAGGCCTCCACTGGGGCTGCTGATCAGTCCTGCCTTTCTGATCAGGCCCTGTTGATAGGCCCAGAGATGCTGACTGGCATAGAAACCAACCAATCAGAACCAAATCTGGGTCAACTGTGAGGAGCCAATGGCTGCCTAGGAGGCAAAGCTTTTGACACTGACTGGCATATAAACTGACCAATCAGAACCAAATCTGGGTCAACCGTGAGGAGCCAATGGCTGGCTAGGAGGCGGAGCTTTTGACGCTGACTGGCATAGAAACCGACCAATCAGAACCAAATTGGCCGGCAGAGGAGGGCAGTTGGGGGCAAGATCAGGCCTGCAGGGGAGGGCAGTTGGGGGCAAGATCAGGCCTAGAGGCAGTTAGGGGCCATCAGGCCGGCAGGGAAGGGAAGTTGGGGGTGAGATCAGGCCGGCAGAGGAGAGCAGTTGGGGGCGAGATCAGGCTGGCAGGGGAGGGCTGTTGGGAGCAAGATCAGGCCGGCAGGGAAGGGCAGTTGGGG